AAACTAGGAAAATAAAGAAGCCTGGGCTAGAAAAGGATTGAACTCAAGTAAGTGGCACATGCTGGGACTCATCTGTGTTTTGTCTGTATCCTGAGGGCCACACCTCAAACATCTATTGTTTCGATGTCATGTTCAAGCCATACGAACAAATCCTCCTCCTTCTAAAGAGTTCCTCATCTCCCTCACTGTCACAGCATTTCCCAGCTGGCCTCTATCCTCCCTCCTCCTCTTGCTAGGCTGTGTTTCTCACAGCTACCTGTTCTCTGTTCTTACCATCCCAACTCAGAGTCACATCACCCTTAGCCGCTTGCATGTTTTCTCTTAAATAAAAGCATCTTATGTAGCTTCATTGATTTGAGGCATGTATTAGTTTCCTGAGACTGCTGTGACAAATTACCACAAGCATGGTGGGTTAAAACAACAGAAGATTCTTCTGTCCTAGTTCTGGAAGCCAGAAATCCAAAATCCAGCACGATTACAATTCCTTCATGGACTCTAGGGGATAATCAATTTTTTTGTCTCTTCCAGCTTTTGGTGGCTGCTGGCATTTCTTGACCTGTGGCTGCATCACTCTGATTTCTGCTCCCATGATCATATCTCCTCCTCTTCTTCTATGTCAAACCTTCTTGTGCCTCACTTTTATAAGGACACTGGACCCTGGATTTAGGGCCCACCAGAATAATCCAGGATGTTCTCCTCAAGATCTTTAATTATATCTGTAAAGACCTTTTCTCCAAGTAAAGTCACCTTCATAGGTTCTGAGAATTAGGATGTGGAGATGCCTTTTTGGAGGCCACCATTCAACCCATTGCAGGGCTTTTCCTGACCAATCCCTCTGGGTGGGTACCAGTATTTTCACCACATTATGCTCCTATTCAGAGTCATCAATGGTTTTTCATTTTCTCTCTCTTCAAATCTGAATTCCTCTGCCTGGCATTCTAGGCTTACCACAATTTGGGCCCACCTAAATTTGGTACCTCACCAGCATCCCATAATTTACTTCATCAGACATTTAGTGAGTGTCTACTATGCCTAAGACACTGTTTCTAGGCTTTTGGGGACACTAAGATAAATACAGTATCACTCAGCCTTCACAGAGCATGTGGCCCTGCTGAGAAGACAAATGCATACAGCTATGAAACACAACACGACAGACAACACTGTCCCTTCCCACCAGGCAGCATCTGCGCTATGCACACTACTGCTACTCTGCTGCATGCATCCATTCTCACACTGCTATGAAGAACTACCCAACACTGGGTCATTTATAAAGAAAAGAGGTTTCATTGACTCACAGTTCCACAGGCTGTACAGCAGGCATAGGTGGGGAGGCCTCAGGAAGCTTACAATCATGGCAGAAGGGTGAAGGTGAAGCAAGAACATCTTCCCATGGTGGCAGGAGAGAGAGAGGGAAGCAGGAAGTGCTACACACTTTTAAACAACCAGATCTTGCGAGAACTCACTCACTATCATGAGAACAGCAAGGGGGAAATCTGCTGCCACAATCCAGTTGCCTCCCACCAGGTCCATTCCCCAACATTAGGGATTACAATTCAACATGAGATTTGGATGGAGACACAGAGCCAAACCATATCACATGCTTTTAACTATTATCCATGATGTGTGACACAGTTTAATCACATAGTCCTACAGCTTCACTACTGTAATCACCTTTTGTGTCACTCAAGAAAATGTTTCTTAAACATAAGAACTTCTGCTTCTCTTACTTTCTACCAGAGTTACTATAACAGTGTTACAAATAATGGTGTATATGTCTTCGAGTGAGACTTTACTTGTACTGAAATCATTTGTTGCATCTGAGATCACCGGTTGAATGTGGTAATTGACCCTGTGAAGTAAATTTGGAGAAAATAAATGGTGTGAAAAAGAGCACCCCTCCTCTCTGCCAGCCTTTAACTCTAAAGGGGCAGCAATATACTCAAGCAGAAAAAGCTAGAGGCCCTGGGAGGGGCTCGACCTCCATGCAACTCCAGCCAGGGCAAAACAGTGAACAGGGAAACATGGTTCAGAGAGAGCCAGCGAGTGTCACCAGCTACAGCAACTAGACTGTGCAAACGACAGTAGAAAATACTTTTATTTTTCTTTTTATAGACATGTAAGAATTTTTATCCCAGCTACTCAGGAGGCTGAGGCAGGAGAATCGCTTCAACCCGGGAGGTGGAGGGTGCAGTGAGCCGAGATCACCACTGCACTCTAGCCTGGTCGACAGAGCAAGACTCCGCCTCAAAAAAAAACAAAAGACAAAAAACAAAGGGTCCTTATAGCAGACATACAAAGAGTTGAAGGAAAAATCTCTAGCTTTAAGAAGTCAAACCAAGTGACATGGTTTTATGTTTCTATTCACATAAATTTATCGAAATTTCCTAAACTAAGCACACTTTTTAAAGCCTTAAAATTTTAAAACAAAAGTTGAAAACTTAGGAGATAAAATCATTTCTAATTCTGGTTTATTTTGGACTATCTCCCAGAAGTTTAAATATATATATATATATATATATAAAATTATATATATTATATACGAACTGTAGTTATATATAGATATATAAATATAGATATATAACTATAGATACATAAATATAGATTTATATTATATATATAATATAAAAAAGCCACCATAATGTTCAAGCCATTTGGTAACCATTTTTTCTTTATACAAATTATATTTTGTTATATTCTTCAACTTAATTTTCTAATGATTATATGGTATTCCATTTTGTGAATGCACCAAAATTTAATATATAATTTCTTACTGTTAAATATTTAGATCTTTCCAATTTTCAATATTATAAGTAATGCTACTAAAAGTATCGTTTTACATATCTCTTAAATCTTTAGAATTATAATTGCTGTCTTGAAGGATATATATATATTTACATTTTTTTACTTACATTATCAAATACAGAAGTTTGTATCAATGACCATTTCACATTAGAAATGGAAAGAAATAGGAATGTCATATTAGATTTTTTTTATTCATCAAGTTACTAGGCAAAAAAAATGATATTTTGTTTTAATTTGCATTTCTTTGATTATTGAAACTGTATACATTTTTCTTTTTTTTAAGAGACTTTAAGTTCTAGGGTACATGTGCACAACGTGCGTGTTTGTTACATATGTATACACATGCCATGTTGGTGTGCTGCACCCATGAACTCGTCATTTACATTAGGTATATCTCCTAATGCTATCCCTCCTCACTTCCCCCACCCCACAACAGGACCTGGTGTGTGATGTTCCCCTTCCTGTGTCCAAGTGTTCTTATTGTTCAATTCCCACCTATGAGTGAGAACATGCGGTGTTTGGTTTTCTGTTCTTGCGATAGTTTGCAAGATGAATGATGGTTTCCAGCTGCATCCATGTTCCTACAAAGGACATTAACTCATCCTTTTTTATGGCTGCATAGTATTCCATGGTGTATATGTGCCACATTTTCTTAATCCAGCCTGTCATTGATGGACATTTGGGTTGGTTCCAAGTCTTTGCTATTGTGAATAGTGCTGCAGTAAACATACGTGTGCATGTGTCTTTATAGCAGCATGATTTATAATCCTTTGGGTATATACCCAGTAATGGGATGGCTAGGTCAAATCGTATTTCTAGTTCTAGATCCTTGAGGAATTGCCACACTGTCTTCCACAATGGTTGAAGTAGTTTACAGTCCCACCAACAGTGTAAAAGTGTTCTTGTTTCTCCACATCGGCTCCAGCACCTGTTGTTTCCTGACTTTTTAATGATTGCCATTCTAACTGGTGTGAGATGGTATCTCATTGTGGTTTTGATTTGCATTTCTCTGATGGCTAGTGATGATGAGCATTTTTTCATGTGTCTGTTGGCTGCATAAATGTCTTCTTTTGAGAAGTGTCTGTTCATATCCTTTGCCCAATTTTTGATGGGGCTGTTTGTTTTTTCTTGTAAATTTGTTTGAGTTCTTTGTAGGTTCTGGATATTAGCCCTTTGTCAGATGAGTAGATTGCAAAAGTTTTCTCCCATTCTGTAGGTTGCCTGTTCACTCAGATGGTAGTTTCTTTTGCTGTGCAGAAGCTCTTTAGTTTAGTTAGATCCACTTGTCAATGTTGGCTTTTGTTGTCATTGCTTTTGGTGTTTTAAATATGAAATCTTTGCCCATGCCTATGTCCTGAATGGTACTGCCTAGGTTATCTTCCAGGGTTTTTATGGTTTTAGGTCTAACATTTAAATCTCTAATCCATCTTGAATTAATTTTTCTTCTTTGAGAAATGCATGGCACATGCATTTCTTCTTTGAGAATTACCTGATTATATCCTTTCCCATTTTTTTTTTCCTGGAGATGATGACTTCTTTTTTTTCTTTTTAGAAGTTCTTTTTTTAAGATAGCAATTGTTTATAATAAATATAGTTTATAATGTTAATAATGCTTTTTGGCTAATTTAAAAAATTTTGTCATCCAGAGTACCAATCTTTGTGATACATTTTCTTCTTTTTTCATTATGTTTGTATCAAGATGTAGTTAAACTCATGGCACATTTTAAACATCTGTAAGTCAGAAGGATCACTTTTGGAAGAGGCCAATTATTGGCAAAAGTAATTCATTAACAAGACAAAAAGTAAATGTACTTTGGAAGCGTAAAAATCTTAAAAGTCCTTAAAGAACCCTTTATAAAAGCAATGCAAAGTATTTACTGTATATCTGAATAATACACACTTGATAATTGTGCCTTACCCCACCTCCTAAAATCTTATATTGATCTGTGTTTTGGGTTTGAGAGCCACCTTAATGTGGAAATGCAAGAATCAGCAGGATCAAGTTCAGGAAGAATGAAGCCAGATGGTTCTGCAAGATCCAATATGAATAGACATATACAACCGGAATTATTTAAACTGCTTAACCATTCGCACAAAAATGAGTAGGTATATTTAAAGAAAACTTTTTTAAAGCAGAAGTTATCTACAATATTCCAGCTGAGAGAAGATATATTCACAAGCAGTTTGGACAAGATGACTCCAGTCATGTGAAAGTTTAAGTTTTATTATAGACACTTTATGCAAACATTTCAATACTTTTTGCTACTTCTATAATCTTTTAGCAAGGCAATCAGTTAAGTTCAAATGAGAAAATAAAAACAAAATTACATATTTTATCATTAAAAATCTACTTTAACTCTGTTATAAAATTTATAATGCAATTTAAACCATTATTTCTCTCCACTTGATGATGTCTCTCGCTGTCTTCCTTTAATTACAAAGTGTCTGAAGACTCTGAACTTGGTTGAGGAAATGTTAAACAGATAACTCTTCATAATTCTATAAGTACTTCCTTTTTAACTTTGAGTAAATGCCATATTTAAACACAAATATTAAAAAATATTTAACATCTCATACAGTCACAGTTCACTGGCGCTTTGCTCCAGCCTGGACACTGACCATTGAAAAATAGATGCCTTTCTGTGCCAGCAGCTGCTGATGTGTGCCGTGCTCCTTGACTCTGCCATTCTGAAACACCACTATTAAGTCTGCATTCTGGATGGTGGACAGGCGGTGAGCAATCACAATGCAGGTGCGGCCTTCTCTGGCTTTGTCCAGGGCTTCTTGGACAACCTATTCCATAATACATAGATTAATTCACATAATAGTTCTTTTCCCTAATTCCTTTTCCATAAAAAGCTCCACAATAGGCTGGGTGTGGTGGCTCATGCCTGTAATCTCAGCACTTTGGGAGGCCAAGACGGGTGGATCACAAGGTCAGGAGATCAAGACGATCCTGGCTAACACTACGAAACCCCATCTCTACCAAAAATACAAAAAATGAGCCGAGCGTGGTGGCAGGTGCCTGTAGTCCCAGCTACTCATGAGGCTGAGGCAGGAGAATGGCGAGAACCTGGGAGGCGGAGCTTGCAGTGAGTGGAGATGGCGTCACTGTGTCACTGCACTCCAGCCTGGGTGAGAGTGTGAACCTCCATCAAAAAAAAAAAAAAAAAAAAAAAAAAAAGCTCCACAATGAATTTCTCCAACAATAGATCCTTCTTTAACAAGGTGTCAGTGAAACAGAACAGGTTTTTGAAAACAAAGGATTTGTCATATCAGAAGATGACTGAACCCTAGTTTGGGTTAGTTCCGAGGCAGCAGTTATCTACCCCTAACTTTTTTTTTTTTTTTTTTTTTTAATAATTTAAAACAAGGCCTCGCTCTGTCACCAGGGTGGAGCATAGTGGTGCAATCATGGCTTACTGCAGCCTCAACCTCCCAGGCTCAAGCAATTCTTCCACCTCAGCCTCCTGAGTAGCTGGGACTACAGGTTCCCACCGCCATGCCTAGCTAATTATTTTACTTTTTGTAGAGACAAGGTCTCCCTATGTTGCCCAGGCGGGTCTCAAACTCCTGGGCTCAAATGATCCTCCCACCTCAGCCTCCCAAAGTGTTGGAATTACAGGTGTGAGCCACAGCAGTAGGTGCCAGCCAGCAGTCATCTACTCTTAAAGTTAAGGCAGTAAATACAGCTCACTGACTCATTTAAAAACATTACTAATGTGTCTAGCCACACAACATCCTTGAAAACAGACCTCAAATCCAGCTCACAGTAAATTCAAGAAGCCTGAGCAAAGACCAAACACAGACTCCTGAATTTTAGTATTGTAAAGTAGGGAACATCTCAAACTGAGTTAGTCTTTCAGATAATCTGAATTATTAACCTTTTCTCCAATCAGAAATGATTGCTAATATTTATCTTAAAAGGTACAGCCAGATTTTAACACTGTCTTACCCTACCACTTTTCCTTACGGTTGCTGAGAGATGCTGCCAGTAGAAGCAGGAAATACATCTCCTGAAAGCAGCTTCTTAGATCAACGCGAAGCGATCTAGGGATGGTTTGTGAAGCATACGTGCTCTAAGACTAATTTGCCTTGTGTCATCTTTACTCTCCTGAATCACAGTTACAGAAACTGTTTACATTTTACTGAAAGGTGATGTAAATAACAATTGATAATCTGACTACATTTTGTTCTTTACTATGGAGAATAAAGCATTTTTAAGGATGATGATTCAAATATGAATGAACTCAATTTAAATTCTTACCTTTTCACTTTCTGTATCCAGAGCTGATGTGGCTTCATCCAAAAGCAAAATATGAGGCTGTCTAACAAGGGCACGGGCTATGGCAATGCGTTGTTTCTGGCCACCAGAGAGCTGAGTTCCTTTGTCTCCTACTCTGGTGCTATATTTCTGTAAATAAGGTTTTGTTGTTATGAAAGTAGAACTGATAGTAAAGTTCTAACAGCTTGCTTATAGAAAGTAGGATAAATGATTCTATGCTCCAAAAATTTAGGTTCAGAAGCTAAGAATTGTTCATGGATAATTAAGGAAAGAACAGAAAAAAGCCCAAAATGGCAGGTTTACTATCTCTTTGAAAAACAGATGTTTGGGCCTTAAAATGATATGTTTTAGTGTAAACAGGTCAGCATTTTAATGAAGAAGAATATCGTTGCAATGTTAGTGTCTTTCATCTTCTGGTTTCATCATATTTGGGACAAAGATTGGCAGGAGAAAGGAAATTTGATTTGAATAAGGTATTCATAATAAAATCATTGAAGCTCATCTTAATTGTAACCAGCAGGTGACACTCTCTGAATGATTTTAAATGGAGGAAAACCATTCTTGGGATGTTAGCCTTTTAGTATCTGTTTTTATGAAAGTATCTCCAACACTTAAACAATTTTAATGGGTGCTACATAAAGGATTCCATTTTGATACCTAACTTTAAAAATGAATATCTCCTTTTTAAACATTTTTGTTGTTAGAGTGCTCCCAAAATTCTTCCCATATTGTTTCCCACAGTAGATAATTGTCACCAACTATTCACTATGATGATAGGAACGGCAGTTAAAGGTTACTCAGAAGAGAGCAGAAACAGGATGTGACTGCACTTGTAACCTAGAAAACAATACTATTTTATTATTTCTAGGCCCTTGCCAGGCTGAAATTTTAGTACAGTGTTGCCTATTTTTATTTGCTATATCTGGCAACCCTAGTTTTGTGGCACTCAGCCCTGGGTCTCCCCCTGTAAATAGAGGGAGAAGACCCCAGATGAAGTTTTGGCAGATGTTTGGGACTGGCTCTGCCCCAGAGCCGTGGCTGCCTCAGAAGGCAGGAGCACTGAAGTGTGTCTCATGTGAGTGGAGGGGTTACTCATTGCACTCTTGATATAGTGTTCATCCTGCTGAGGCAGATAAAGGCAGCGCGGCAATCTTACAAGAAGGAGGTAACTAAATCAGTCACCTACAGGGTGAGGTAAATCCTAGTATTAATCACTTAGGAGAAGTGGATCCTTAGGTAATAGTACTTACGGGGTTTACCTTTTCTCTCTTGGTCTAGACACTGAGGAAGAGAGTTACGGTGTCTACAGGTGTGTTCTGTGTGACAGATTAGAGACCCGGATCCCAGAAAGGTGGAAGTCCCTGTGGCAGACAAATGCCAGAGGGGCAAAGTATATTTAAGAAGATAGATAATACTTACTCTCTGTGTTTGTGTTTTATTAACCCCTAGCCCAGTGGTTCTCCAACTTGAGCCTGCGTCAGTATTATCTGGGCTCTTAAAACATGGATTGATGGATCTGCATTCCTAACAAGTTCCCAGGTGACGCTGATCTGTGTCTATAGTTGAGAACCACTATCCTCTCATCAGTAAAGGGGACTGGAGCTTTCCATTTTAAATGTTTGAGCCTGGGGAAGGGTCAATTACCTCCAGTTGGGCTAGACTGTGAAAGGAGAGTGGGAGACAAGGCCATCTCCCTGGGACTTAATGAGATTGGTGTCAGCAGTTATCCGAAGAAGAGCCTACAGAAGGGAATCTTGAGAAAGAGAACCACCTGGTGTTGCTCGCCTGCCTCATGAGGAAACTGTCTTCCCTGCTGGGTTGAGGCTCCTGAGCTTTGTTTTAGGGGGCACTTCCTTAGAATAAAGAGCTTAACTGGTGATAATGGGTGGGGTAGATTACCTAGGTGGAGAAGCACTTCAAAATATAGGACCTAACTTTTGCAGCAACATGGATGCAGCTGGAGGCCATTATCCCAAGCAAAGTAATGCAGGAACAGAAAACCAAATACTGCATGTTCTCACTTATAAGTGGGAGTTAAACATCAGGTACTCATAGATGAAAAATGGCAACAGTAGAAACTGGGGACTATTAGATAGGCAGGGAGGGGGGTAAGTGTTGAAAAACTACCTATTGGGTTCTGTGCTCAGTACCTGGGTGACGGGATCATTTGTACCCTGAAACCTCCGCATCATGCAATATACCCAGGTATAATAAACCTGTACATGTACCCCCAATTCTGAAATAAAGTTGGGAAAAAATATAATTTTGGACTGTTAATACAGGTTGAGCATCCATAATCCAAAAAATTCAAAATCTGAAATTCTGAAATTTTTTGAGCACCAACATGATGCCACAAGTGGAAAATTTCACACCTGATCTCATGTAACAGGTCACAATCAAAACACAGTCAAAACTTTGTTTCATGCTCAAAGTTATTAAAAATATTGTATAAAATTACCTTCGGGCTAATGTGTATAAGGTATACATGAAATATAAGTGAATTGTGTACATGCAAATATTGCAAAATCCAAAACACTTCTGATCTCAAGTATTTTGGATAAGGAATATTCAACTTGTATTCCAAAACAAGACAAAACACAAAAACTAAAATACAGGACCTAAGAGGGCTTAAGAGAGGGTGAGAGGTTTCATTTATCCAACTTCCTAGGAGGAATTCAGAGGACACCCATAGGACAACAGCCCAGGCAGCCCTAGAAAATACTTCAACCATTCACTGTAAACGAAGTTTGGGGCCCATGAAATGTACAATGATGAGAGATTACATGATACCCTGGTCACCCTAATGGCTCAACCCTTATTCAGAGAGAGCCCTCTTTCTGGCATGGGTTCAGCCCTCTGGACTGGACTGACTCCACAGTGAGGTTTGAGTCTTGGGAGAGAGCTGCAAGAAGGAAGAAGGAAGAGAAATAGAGCAGAGACATGGGGAGGGACAGTCATGCCTGCTTCCTTGGCAGGCCAGAAGCAGCATGTGCAGGTACAGACCCAGCCTCTGTACTTGGACTTGAAGGGAAAGGCTTCCCAGACATTGTACTTATCCCTAGGGCTGATAAAGGTGGAGCCTCAAGCCTAATAGCTTTGGATCTAGAGAATTCTTCCAGTTCTCCTATCCCAGAAATGTTCCTCTCTCCTAAACCTGAAGTGATCACTTTCATCCCTTCCTCACAAGGAGGGTGAGGTGATCAGACAAAGGTAACATCTAACCCAAATAGGAAGTGTGGCCAGATGCTTGTATACAGGTAAGGGTGTGATTTGGTTGCTAATTTCTCTTCACTTCTGGGAAACCATCCCCTTATACATCAAAGCATAGGCCAGGGAGGCTGCCACATGGTCCCAGGCTGTTAATTTGGAGAGAGACTTACATTAGGCAGTGACTCGATGAAGGCGTGTATATTGGCCTCCTTGGCTGCCCTCACAATCTCTTCCTGTGACACCACCCGGCTGTTGTCTCCATAGGCAATGTTCTCACTAATGCTGCAGTCAAACAGGATGGGCTCCTGGGACACGATGCCCAGGTGTGCTCGGAGCCACTGAACATTCAGTTGCTTTATTTCTTTGCCGTCAAGCAGCTGAAAACAAGAGTTCACAGACCAACTTCAGGACCAGCACACTTTGAATGTAGCACAATTAACATCATTATTTCTTACACTGAAACTGCCAAGTTACTGTGAGATTAAGGAAAAGTTTGTGTGATTAAAATTTGGATAGTTAAGATTAATACAACAAGGTCACAACTGTATGCTTTGAGGAACTGTCATGTTTCCTGTGTTATAACCATGGTTTCTGATGTATGCACATGGTAGGTAGAATAAGACATCTATGTCCTAATCCCTGGATCCTGTGAATGTGTTATGTTACATGTCAAAAAGAAACTAAGGTAGTAGACGTAAGGTTGCTAATCAGCTGACTGTAAAATAAGATTATCCTGAATTACCTTGGTGAGCCTAATGTAATCATAAGGGCTTGTAACTGAGGAAGAAGGAGAGAGGAGAGTATCAGAGCAAACGCAGTGTGAGAAAGACTCAACCAGCCACTGCTGGTTTTGAAAACAGAGGAAGGGGCCACAAGCAAGAAAAAGCAAGAAAACAGATCATTCTTTGGAGCCTCTAGAAGGAACACAGCCCTGCTGACACTTGATACGTGCCCACTGACACCTATTTTAGGTTTCTGACCTCCAGAAGTGTAAAGTCATAAATTGGTGTTGTTTTAAGCCACTGATTTTGTGGTAAGTGGGTATAGCAGCCACACAAATACAATGCCTAATACTTCTGAGATGTATCCTGAGGGCCTTATTCTTAAATCTCCATTTTTCAGAGACACAGTGCCCAGGATTAGCATGGAAATAAATAACAACTATGACCACATAACAGGTTTGCAGTTCAGGAACTACAGGGGATGGATAGGTGAACAGGGGAAGGAAAGGGTGGATGGACATCGTCAATACTAAGCCAGATAAGTAGGAATGGAGAGCTGCCCTTTCTCTATAATCTGGTTCCCTGGATTATTTTGCAGAAGACTGGGGAGGGCACCTTACAGCCTTGCTGATAACAAGCCCTACTCTGATGCAAATATGTCTGCCAGATAGGTCTGCTTTGCAAGAGAATTTGCATTTAAGTGAGAGAGTTGTTCATCCCTTCTGAAGAAGGCACCAGTGACTCAGCTTTGAGCGTTTCCAATAGTAGTGACAAGTTTGTACTGAGCCATATCCTCTCTGTATCCCATGTGCCTGGTTGGGTGGCTCAAGGGGACAGCTGGCCAGCAGTAGGGTACAATCTTTGCTACAGGAACATGGCTTCTGCTTGTGACACTGGCAGATGCAGGGATGGAAGCTCTCCCATAACCTTATTAGTTCCAAGCTGAGTTGCCATGGAGACTATTCCACACATGTATGCTCCAGGCTTCCTTACAATGTTAATAAATGAAGGTAGGAAACAGAGGGTGGAGAGGGACAGTAAAAGCCAAACAAGGATGTGGCTAAGTAGCAGATCTTGTTAGATAAAACACTGTACTTGAGAAGTGGAAATTTAAGGAAAGGAGGAGTTTGGTTTTTGCTTTTGTTTTTGTTTTAATTTTGTTGTTTATACCCCTGGGAGGAAAACAGCCACTGCCTAACTAATACAATCACAGGCAAATCTGAATGATCTCAGCAAGTTATAATGTTTCTTCATTACACTGAATACACTCTTGGACCTCCTCGTCCCCGCATAATACCCTGGGATTGCAAACTATTTAAAACCTGTGTTGACTGAAGAATTCTTTCTTTAAGTAAAACTTAAGTTTAGATGCCTACAATGTAAAAAAGATCAAAGAAGCAGAGCTCCTTTGGCTGAGGAATGGTGTTGGTTTGAGAGAAGACCATGGAACTCTGGGTAATCTATGAGAACTGCTCAAAAAATCCTGGCCTAAATCAAAATATAACTAGGAAAGTAAACATATTGGTAAAAAATAATGAAAGGCCAGATTAAAATGATCGGCTATCTCTATTGTAGATTGTTAAATCTATTGCTTGCTTTCATTAGCACAAAAATGTAAATGTTAACACATGTATTCTTCTATGCATATTTACTGTGAAATAATAATTGATTTTTAAAAATCAAGCACTGACAACATTGTAGGTTCTATGATAAGCATGTCTCCTACAGTCTCTTGTTTAACCTTCACAGCAACACTTCTGAGGTCACTGTGAGGTTAACTGCCATTTTACTGATAAGCAAATGCGCACAGTTAGTAATTGGGAGAAAACCAAGACTGGATCTAAACACTATAGGTTGGGTTTTAGTAACACTAATATCTCACAACTGAAAGATATTTTATGCCCCCTCCTTGAAAGGGGAATGCCCCCATCTCGGGCTCTTGTTGGGTTATAACCAGACAACGACAAGCAGCTTCTAACTATATCCCAAAGGGGGCTCTGACTGTTGTATATGAGAGAGACTAGAAAGGAGAGAAAGGAAAGGTCAGGGGAAGACTCAAAGCAGGGGTGATTTAACAATGACACTGATGAAGGTTGAGCTTCAAGAGCCCTCAATTACATGTAAATTCTAGGAAGTTGAACAGTTTTCTGGGTGGGATGGAGGAAAGGCTGTAGTCAGGAACCTCTTCCCTGTAAGTGTTGATGATAAATTGCCTAAAATGAAAGGGACCAGAATCTTTAAGCTTCCAATATTTGGTTATGATTTTTTTTCGTTTGAAGTAAATATCCACTTTTGTGTCTAATTTTGCATTCAAATTTTTTCTTTAAGTTGAATCCCTAAAATTGTATAATCTTCAGGTCCCTCAAAACTTGGAGAATCCTCCCATCTTCACAATTACATAGCTTAATTATTCAAGACTTTCCACAATTTAACCTAAATCTTTCTTCAAATTTAACAGTTTGGTGGCTCTCGAATGATGGCTGGCATCAGGATCACCTCGGAAAATTATAAAAAGAAAAGGCTAAACCCTAGCCTACTTGAATAATCCAGGCCGGCTATATTTTTTACTAGCTCTTTAGGCCATTCTAATAGCCACTGAAGCTTGAGAACCACCACTTCAGGTCAATGATTTTCAACGTGGGATTCAAGGTCCGCTGATGGTTATGAGAATTTCGTGACTTCAGGGGACCCTCAGGGTCAAATCCTTTCTTTAATTCTTATGCTCGAATCCACAGACTCATTTTTACATGGCAATAAAAACTAACGAGTAGTAATCCACTGAGTTATTCAGGGCTATTCACTGATGTCCATAAACAAAACTTTGTACATTTACTAGAGTTTATTGTGGACACTTTCTGCTAAGAAGTCTAGCTACAGTGCACCATCTGGCAGTATTTCCAAGCCCTAGTGCAAATGCACAGGAGAAGATAATGGATATTCCTGCAATAAATGAGGACACTTTGTTTTCAGTCCATTATCAATAATGTCTTGTGATGCTTACTGTGCTATGCACTCAGTATTCATTTTCATATACTTCTGTGTCTGACCTTTTATACATCAAGGGACTAGAAGGCTAAAAACTATTTCCCACTTTCCCTTGGTTCTGGAAGTAAGTCAGGGTCTACCAGGGAGATGCACAGTGTAAAATCTGGGAGGTAGACACCATCTCTCCTTCAGCAGCCATGGTAAGCTAACAGCTTAACTCATTTTTGGCAGACAAGAATTTCTGCAACAGACAGATTCTAGTCTTGTACCTTTAAATTTGGAACAGCTGTGGCATAATTTTCTGCAGCTTCTTGGTTACAGAATCACAGCTGCAGTGCTGTGATCTGGAAGTCTGGGAGCAAGTAGCCTACTTTTCTTTCACTCTTCCAGCCCTTCCAAAGATTTTGTAAGCATGTAATTCCGTTTATTAAATACTTATCTACTTGAAATACCTAGTGCAGTTTCTGTTTCCTACTCTGAACTGTAACTGATGCTGTCCATGTTTTAAATTATGTTCTGCTTGTGTTTATATACTTGCAGAATAACATTAATTATTCCTTATTGTATCATTATTGTGCTGTATTATATCGTGGTTTTCAACTCCAACATTTTGTTATCACCAAGCGTTTTTCCCCTTGGAAAGTGACTATGAGTACATTAGTGGATGATGACATTTGAAAATCTTTCCTACATGAGTTATCAGAAAAGTTTGAGAACCACTACTCAAACTAAACTCCTATTTCAGCCAAAGTGTCCTATTTGCGCATTGGGAACAAATCACTGATCACAGCTTGCATTTTCTCTCACATTCAATGTCATCACGACTGTTCATCCATATGCAAATCCTTATCTCTTAAGAACTAGCTCTAGGCCTATCTTCTTTAACTCATGAAAGTATATGCCCCATTTCCTCAGTTAAAGTATTTGAGGGCAGATATCATGCCCTACAATTCATCATAGCACAATCTTTAACATACCACTTAATAACTGTCTGTTGAGGACCATAATCAGTGTCTGAGAGCCAACATTTCCTCCTCTAATTGCTTTGGCTGTCAGCGACGTCTTTATTTAGAGTCCTGTTTTTAAACTCACCACAAAAAATTGAAAGACAAAATCAGAGTTCACAGAAAATATAAAGCAAGAGAGTAAAAGTAGGTAACAAGCTTATGTAATGATTTAAGAGTAGACTGAATAAAGGCATAACTATCTTTGAATACAGTAACAAATATTTATGAGTAAGAGTGACTGCTGTGAGGAAGTAAAAAGAGTCCTAGACTAAAGGTTGAAAACTCTCTTTTCATTTGAGTTATTAAATGCTACCAGTGTCCATACATAGTGGGTGGGCATCCATCTGACTTTACCAGCAGGCATCCATTCTGATTGGTCAGTGTCCATTCTGTTCCCATTGTTAAGTATTTTAAATATCACTTCTCAGTACAATTAATTACATGCCTACATAATGAAAATGTCTTGTTCTTAATCTATTCCTTCCTAGTTTGTCTTCTTTCCTAGCCTCCATCATAGTCGTTTAAACTCACTGCTCCCTGCCAGACACCTCCCTCATTCCCAGCAACTAAGACAAAAGGGCGTACTTCTATATTCTTTATACATTTCCCAAATTTGTTGATTCTACTTTTTTTTTTCCTTAGATGATGTTTCAATGCCCTCTCTCCATCAATGATTTTGTCTCATCCCCAGCCATAAAAATGCTCAACAGATCACCTCCTAAACATTTTCCCTGGACTCTGCCTCCCCACTCAAGCACTGTCCTTATTTGCCTTTCTTTTACTTTCCATCTTCTTGATAACCTATGCTCACTTACATCTCCATTTCTCTTCCTAACCATACTTCAGCCACCCTTAATTGTTTTCTACCATCACTACTTCACTAAGAATATTTTAAAATATCAGAAGTAGCCCATTCATTGCTAGACTCTATCATGTCTTCTCAGTCTCCTCCTTACCCAATCTCTCTATACCATCTGTCATTGCTGACTACCATCTTTGAAACAGTCCCCATCCTTGGCTTTCATCTCACTCTTAGCACCTGTCTTGCATCTTTCTGGCTACTTCCATTTTTGTTGGTTCTTCTCAAGTCAACTGAAACCTAAGTACAGCAAGGGAGATAGGTGGTACAAAGGGTGCTCGCAAAGGAGGGTAGAGGAGTAGTGTTGAGGGAAGCCTGGAGAAGTTGGCTGGGACAGATGACACCACTTGGAGACCATATTTAGGTTGTCAGACTTTATCCAAGTGGGGTGGTTGTTTAAAGGTTTGAAAAAACATGGCTCATAGTTGAGAATTAAATACATTCAGACATTTGGATGATGAAAACCTGAACTGAGCTAAATACGAAAGTGTGCTCACCACTTTCCCCGCCAAGGGGTCGTAGAACCGCTCCAGGAGCTGGACCACCGTGCTCTTCCCACAGCCACTGCTGCCCACCAGGGCCAGCGTCTGGCCCTTCTTCACTTCCAGGCTCAGCCCCTGAAGCACTGGGATGTCCAGTCGGGTGGGATAGTTGAATACAACTTCATTAAATGTGACATTTCCTTCCAATGTGTTCTGCAATGAGAAGAATAACAGTAAATTAGATTGCCACAATACTGAAAATAAAGTGTATAGCTAACTCTTTCAATTACCAGGTGTCAGAAGGTAATGAACTTGTATTACAATTGGCTTCACTTCAAACTGCTAGAATTTATTTTATTTTTATTTTATCATTTTATTATTTTTTATTTTTTGAGACAGTCTCACTCTGTTACCCAGGCTGGAGTGCAGTGGCATGATCTCAGCTCACTGCAACCTCCGCCTCCCAGATTCAAGCAATTCTCGTGCCTCAGCCTCCCGAGTAGCTGGGATTACAGCATGTGCCACCACACCCAGCTAATATTTTTTTGATTTTTAGTAGAGATGGAGTTTCACCATATTGGCCAGTCTGGTCTCGAACTCCTGACCTCAAGTGATCCACCCACCTCAGCCTCCCAAAGTGCTGGGATTACAGCCATAAGCCACTGTGCTCAGTCTCAGACTGCTAGAATTTAGTAAATGAGGTCTAAAAGAGTAAAAGCTTTCACAGCATGTATTGTTAAGACAATGTAAATATACAATACAGCTGCAATAACTCAAATCTGTTCCTCAGGAATACAGTAACTTACAATGAAATCTGGTGACCAGCCTGGGCAACATAGCAAGACCATGTCTCTACAAATAATTAAAAAATTAGCTGGGCATGATGGCACATGTTTGTAGTCCCAACTACTTGGGAGGCTGAGGCAGGAGGATCGCTTGAGCCCAGAAGGTCAAGGCTGTAGTGAGCAATGATCATGCTACTGCACTCTAGCCTGGATGACAGAGTAAGACTCTGTCTCTAAAACAATTGTTTGTAAAAAATCTGATTAATAGGTTTTGCTTATAAAGTGAGCAGTGTTCCTATTTCCCTATAACCTTTGCTATGTAAAAGTACTGAATGTTGATGTATATTATTAGTAGTTATTGAAAGGAATCTATGATCTAGGAAGTTTTATTTTATCATCAGCATATTTGAAAGTACAAATTTTATTAAGTTTCCACTTAGAATACTTTCATTAAGGAGTCAGGAGTAGATCCAATAGTTGAAACATCAAACTCACCGGCTTTAGGCCTTCTGTGCTGTAGCTGTCAATCAAAGGGGTTTTTTCAATGATCATGATGATGTGGGCTGCTGATACTTTGGCTTTGGCATAGTCAGGAGCAAATGAACTGACTTGCCCCACGGCCATGGCACCAAAGACAACAGCTGAAAATACTCTGGAAAGTACAAACACAAAACATGTGTGCAGCATTATGAACACAATGCTAGAAAGCTGACACTCCTTTTTTTTTTTTTTTTTGAGATGGGGTCTTGCTGTGTTGCCCAGACTGTAGTGCAGTAGTGCAATCAGAGATCACTACAGATATGACCTCTAGGGCTCAAGTGACCTTCCCACCTCAGCCTCTGGAGTAGCTGGGACTACAACTGTGCACAACCACAGTTGTAAAACAAGCTAATTGTTTTATTTTTTTGTAGAGATGGGGGTCTCCCTATATTGCCCAGGCTGGTCTCAAACTCCTGGTATGAAGCAGACCTCCTGCTTCAGCCTCCAAAAGTCCTGGGATTATAGGTGTGAGCCACCATGCCTGGCCAAAAGTTGACACTTCTGTAACCAGAGAGCTTAGCCTCTAATAGTTATAAAACAGATGTTAAAAATAAAACAAACACATTTCCTTATAAGTTCATGTCAGTGTGATAGATTGATTGCAAAATGGCCCATTTTTTTTCCACCTCTCTCTGTATCCTCATCTTGCAATGTGACCTTTGCAGCACCCTTTGAATCTGGACTGGCCTCGTGACTTGCTTTGGCTAGCAGGATGTGGTGGGCAGGATGTGGTGGAAATAACTTTTTCCAGTTTCAAGTCTATGACTCAGGGGGCCTTATATGCTTTGTGAGCAGGCATGCATGTGTTCTCTCTCTCTTTCTTTCTCTCTCAGAATTCTGCCACTGTCTCAAACCCAGGCTAGCCTGCTGGAGGATGAGGCACACATGGAGGAGAGCTGTGTGAATCCCAACCAACCAGCTACAGACACAACCCACTACAGACACATGAGTAAGTCCAGCTGAGATCCACTATGCCTAACCCAGATCAGTAGAACTTCACAGCTAACCCACAGGTTTGTGGGCAAAAATATGTATGTTTCTGAGGTTTAGTGGCTGGTTGTTACACGGCATTATTGTGGTTATCAACAACAGATACAGTCAGTGATGTTGGAATTACATCAGATTCTTAAAAACCTATGAACTGTGCAACAAAAAGAAAGTTTCTTACAGAACCAGATATGTTGCTCTTAAGGTGCATTGACATTCTTATCTATGACATGGGAATCACAGCAACTTAAAGTTGGGAAGGTCCTTACAGGTAACAAGTCCAGCTCTCCATGTTCGTGCCTGGACACCTCCCCTAAATTGGCTTCCACCCTCTGATTTAGGAAGTAGCATGTTTGGTTGTCTATTGTTAAACAGTTCTTTTTCAAACTGAAGGAAAAATTTACTTCCTTTTACATATGACAGGCCTACAAGTCTTGAAATATTACTAAAACCTCCTTTGCTTCTTTGATAACTCCTTTTACGGCCCTTCTCTAGACATATTTATTAGCAAGCCTGGAACTGACAAAATACTTGGGAACCCTCCCAGAATACAGGGAATCCATCACTTTCTTTCCTCTGGACTCTATGCCTATGTTTACGTAGCATATTGTGTCATTAGTTTTTGTTTGTTTGTTTGTTGTTTGTTTAACTGGCACTAAATAAGATACACCGATGGTTAATCTTGGCCTTGTGATCATTTAAACCTATGGGACCTTTTTCTAATGCACTGCTCTTCAGACAGGTCTTCTCCCTTTTCCTTAACTTGGAATGTTGATTTTGCAAACCTAAATGCCCCAATGTCAGCAACTTTCACCAATTCAATTTTTTGGAGTAAAGCAATATATCAAATAATTATCTAATCAAAGTCCCAATGCCAGTGATGCTTGGTTTTGATCTCTAGGTCGTAATCACAGATAGCACCCACATATCATTTGTCCAACGCACACCTTTAATGGAAATTTAGATGTCTTTTTTGGGGTCCTCCTGAGCAAACTGTAATGCATGAACAGCTCAATGTTTAAAAAGGAAAGAAATACTATACTAATACATTACACTGCCAGGCTTATATGATTCTGGTTTAAATGTAAAACTATATTGCTACTAATTATGTTACGCTATCAAGAGGCAGAATCTTACCCATCTCTAAATCTAGAAGCTCAGATATATTATACATACTTTTGACCACCAAACTGCATATTTGGGTACTTTTGTAGTATAACTGCTTCAGGCTTATCTTCCTCTGACCAAGGCACAGTTATCTACATTCAGAACAATGTAGCAGAAAAATCTCAATATAACTTTTCCTTTGTCATTTCTGACTTCATCTGGCTCTTACCTTCCAACTCTTCTCATATCAAGGAAAAGTAAACTTATCCTGGAATCTCCAAGGGCTTGCAGAACTTAGTACAACACATCTGCACTTTACTTGCTCTGTAAGAAAGTCCTTTAAAAGGAGCCAGTCAGACTCCTTGCTCAGGGCTAGGCTTCTTCCCAAATGCCAAGGCCTTCTCAAAATCTCTGAATGGAATCACTCCACCCAGTGACAGACTTGGAAAGTTCAGCTATATGTGAGCCAGCAATGAGGAAAGAAGTTACTGCTCCTTCAAATGAAAGGGGGTGCTTCAATGGTGGCACATGAAGACTCAGAGGCAAAATGCCACTTTAGGAATCACCAGAATCTCTTCATGAGGCTTCACAGTAGGGTTTCCTATCTAGACATGAAGCATGTTCATCCCAGTTTTATTTTTAGAGTTTAACTAAATAATAACCCAATACTTACAACAGAACATCCTCAAAGCTCATGAGATAATGTGCCACCAAGTAGGCTCCAAACCGGAAACATCCAGCATAGGAAAAATACATCATTGCCTGGGTGAAGGAAAACGTGATTCCAAAGATGTGTGCTTTCCTCAAAGAGTTTCTGAAAAGAAGACATTTGAAAACTCATTCCACTTTCATTTCTCAGTCCTTAAAATGTATCTTTTGATAGGCTGGCAGTAGGGCACAGAGGCATGACCAACAAAAATGGGTTTAGTTTCCAAATAACTAAGTTTGGTCCACACTTTACACTTGGCGGTTGTGCAAATTTGGGAAACTGCCTAACCTCTGAGACTCAGTGTCTTTATCTTTAATGTAGAATTAACTACACCTCAAACTGTTGATGTAAAGAGAAAATAATCCAATGACTGTAAAGAGCCAGTTAGGGATCAATAAGTAAAAGTTTTCTCCCTTTCCCCCCACTTTTGGACACACAACATGTAAGTACTCTATATAAATATTCATTCTGTACACGTTTACCCAACACCTACAAGTTGCAGGTACCCTGATGGGTGACACAGAGGAAACAGGCATGTTCTTGACTTAGGAGACCTGAGTTGAGTTGAATTACTATTTATGCATTGAAGGTGCCTTATGAATAATCTGTTATGGGAAGAAAGCAGAAGCACTAAATTATTTGGGGGTCTTAGAGAAGGCTTTACAAAGGGGTTGACATTCTAGAATCATGACATGGAGGCTCAGCGATATGGAGGTGTGAGTGGGGGCAGGTTGGTTAGCAAGTGGGCAGCCTCCAACCCCTCCTGCTACCAGATCAACTCTGCTTTTATCTTCATCACATATGAAGATTTCAAATAAATTTTTTTTTTAGACAAAAAAGACTCTACCATCATTTTTTTAAATAAAAGCTTAAAAATCTATTAATAAGGTCCACCTCTCTCTTTTATTATAAGAAACAGACTCAGAGAGGTTGGGCTTGCTTATGTTCACACCACTTATTAGAGCTCTCACTGGGATGACTGTGTCAAAGGAAGAAGGCCTGCACTGGAGAAGGGGTAAAAAGCAGAAAGACAGGTAAACCCAGGAAGCACCATCCTCTCCGTGTCCCACAGGTACCTCAAATTTTAGGTTCCATAAATAACTCATTTTCAACTACAGCAAATTGTAGGATCATATCCTAACTGGACATCAGAGAGTCATTCTCAGCATCATGTCTCCCTCCCTTCTCATCAGTGACCCATTCTTACAGGTTCTACATCAGAGATGTCCCTGCCTTAGTTCAGGGTCTTGTAATTTCTCTCCTGCATAATTACAACTGTTTCCCAATGAGTTCCCTTCGAGTACTTTCTCCACTTGCTCCCTACCTTCTAGCCAAAGTAATCCCTCTGAAAACAAATAAGATGACTGAAAAATTATTCACACTCCCCTCCCATTCTTCAGCGGTTATTACCTGTATGGTACCTGCAAACTCTGATCATACATATGTTCAAACTTCTGCTCCTGAGTCAAAGAAACAACAGTTCGGAAGTTTTCTATTGCTTCAGTAGCGATCTGTAACAGAGAGCACCGATCACCAAGAGGCACAGGGGTAAACAGTGGTGATTAACTTGAATTCTATAAAACAGACTAATGAAAATAATTTTATGATTACATATTTTTTATTATGTATGAGCATTTTCTCTGTAGAAAAAGATACTAAGTAATTTATCAAACTGAGTTATGGATCTGTATCCCGGCCCGCGGGATCGTCGAAGCAGGCCCTGGAGGAGGGAGTGGGAATTTGGGGAACAAGAGACACGAGAAATGGAGACAAGACAGTGCTCTGATCAAGTCTCGTTTAATGGTGGTAATGCAGTGCCTTATATACACTTGGAGAGGAGGGGGTTGGGCCAAGGCGGAAATGATCTCATTTCGGAGGGCGTAGCCAGGCAGGTTTCGGTTTCAACGGTCGGAGGTCATGTTGCGCCTGCGCTATAAAGTAACAATTTTCGCGCGCGCAGGAAAGATGGGTGAAGAAGAAGCAGGAAGAGCGCCATCTTGTGTAAGGTATTTAATACAGGGGAAAAGGACAAATCTAGGAAGGAGGTGAGAGGTGGAAATGAATAGAGCTCAGGCGTTTAATCGTCAATAATTACTCGCTATGGCCGGGGCGCGCAGCTCCGGACAGATCTGGAAGGAAGATTGACTAATTCAGACTTCTGCTTTGGAGAAAGAGAAGCTAAGACTTAAACGGATTAAGGCATTGCTTAAAGCCACAAAGCTTTACGTGGCTTCACAAAATTAACCTGAGAACTCACAGTACTTCACATCTATTACAGTGTTCTTTCTTCTATGATGATCACATTTTAAGTTCAAAGTTATTTTGCACGTATTTTTAAAATGTGATGTTTATATTTTTCTCTTTATCATTGCCATTTGTGACAACTGAAGAATGCTTGAAAAATACTGAAAGAACTAAGTCAATAAAAAATATATTTTAGATACGTTCGTCAGCTTACTCCTTTCTGCCTGTGGATGTTTACTCCTTTCTGCCTGTGGATGTTTACTCCTTTCTGCCTGTGGATGCCACCAAGGAAGCATCGTTAAAGTCTATCTCTCCCCTGCCATCATGTCTAAGTCAGAGTCTCCTAAAAAGCCCAAACAGCTGAGGAAGCTCTTCATTGGAGGGTTGAGCTTTGAAACAACCGATGAGAGCCTGAGGAGTCATTTTGAGCAATGGGGACGCTCACGGACTGTGTGGTAATGAGAGAATACAAAGCGCTCAAGGGACTTTGGGTTTGTCACATATGCCACTGTGGAGGAGGTGTATGCAGCCATGAATGCAAGGTCCTATAAGGTAGATGGAAGAGTTGCGGAACCAAAGAGAGCTGTCTCAAGAGAAGATTCTCAAAGACCAAATGGCCACCCAACTGTGAGAAAAATATTCACTGGTGGCATTAAAGACACTGAAGAACATCACCTAAGAGATTATTTTGAACAGTACGGAAGAATTGAAATGATTGAAATCATGACTGACCAAGGCAGTGGTAAGAAAAGGGGCTTTACTTTTTAAGTTTTGATGACCATGACTCCGTGGATAAGACTGTCATTGAGAAATACCCATACTGTGAATGGCCACAATTGTGAAGTTACGAAAGCCCTATCAAAGCAAGAGATGGAGAGTGATTCATTCAGCCAAAGAAGCGAAGTGGCTCTAGGAACTTTGGTGGTGGTCATGGAGGTAGTTTCGGTGGGAATGACAACTTTGGTGGTGGAGGAAACTTCAGTGGTCATGGTGACTTTGGTGGCAGCTGTGGTGGTGGTGGATATGGTGGCAGTAGGGATGGCTATAATGGATTTGGTAATGATGGAAGCAATTTTGGAGGTGGTGGAAGCTACAATGATTTTGGCATTTACAACAATTAGTCTTTACATTTTGGACCCATCAAGGGAGGAAACTTTGGAGGCAGAAGCTCTGGCCCCTTTTGCTAGTAGAGGCCAGTACTCTGCCAAACCATGAAACCAAGGTAGCTATGGCAGTTCCAGTAGCAGCAGTAGCTACGGCAGTGGCAGAAGATTTTAAATTACTGCCAGGAAACAAAGCTTAGCAGGAGATAAGAGCCAGAGAAGTGACAGGGAAGTTACAGTTTACAACAGATTTGTGAACTCAGACAAGCACATTAGTGGCAGGGCCTAGCTGCGACAAGAATACATGTTTAGACAAATACTCATGTGTATGGGCAAAAAACACGAGGACTATATTTGTGACTAATTGTATAACAGGTTATTTTAGTTTCTGTTCTGTGGAAAGTGTAAAGCATTACAACAAAGGGTTTTAATGTAGATATTTTTTTGCACCCATGCTGTTGATTGTTAAATGTAACAGTATGATCATGACGCTGAATAAATGTGTCCTTTAAAAAAAAAAAAAAAAAAGGTATATTTTACACATTTGCATAATTTTTTTCCTAAGGGCATAAATATATTTAACAAGATTGGAATGAAACTCTATATTTAGCTCTATATCATTATTTTTTACCCTCATATCAAAAGCATTTTCCAAGTTCATTAAATACACATTAATAATGAGATGTGTAATGAGTCCTTTAATATCATAACCAATTAAGCATTCCTTTATTGTCGAGCCAGGTTTTCCACTTCTTTTTTATTAAAAATAATGGTGAGATAAACATCTTTGTACCTAAACATTTGTCTGTGTTGAATTGGTTTATTAGGAAAATTTCTTAAGGTGAAATTAATAGGTCAAAGAAAACTAACTTTTTTTTTTTTAAGAGACAGGGTCTTGCTCTGTTGCCCAGGCTAGAGTGCAGTGGCTATTCACAGGTGTTAGCATCATAGCTCACTGCAGCCTCACACACTTGGGTAAGCAATCCTCCTGCCTCAGTCTGCCAAGTAGCTAGGACTACAAGCACATGGCACTACACCTGGCTTGAATGAAGCTTTTTTAACTTTTTAAGGAATGTGGCACATACTATCAAGCTTGGGCTGGGTGTGGTGGCTCATGCCTGTAATCCCAGCAGTTTGGGAGATGGAGGCAGGTGGATCATTTGAGGGAAGGAGTTTGAGATCAGCCACAGCCAACATGGTGAAACCCTGTTTCTACTAAAAATACAAAAATTAGCTGGGCATGGTGGCACATGCCTTAATTCCAGGCTACTGGGAGGCAGAGGAAGCGCCTGAACCTGGGAGACGGAGGTTGCAGTGAGCCAAGATGGTGTCACTGCACTCCAGCCTGGGAAATAGAGTGAGACTCCATCTTAAAAAGGAAGTTTCCATCATTCAATTATGTTGTAATTGAATGTTACTTCCAACAAGGCAATTTGATTAGAAACACACATCCTTCATCATCTCTGGAGTCTGAGTAAAAGGATATGGAAAAAGCAAAGAACACCAGTGTACAAGATGAGATTTCAGCCTACATCAGCCGCACCACCTTGAACCAAAATGCTGTCTCATTTTCCTCATTTGCGAAATGAGGAGGATGGACTAGAGGGTCTCTAAAGTCCCTTTTAATGCTATGATTCTAACAGAAATAATTTCCAGAATTATAAGTCACCAAGAGAAATGACTCCTTATTGTTTAAGATGTTCTTCCTCTCTTTGGCCTCTACACTGGTCAGAACAGATTCTAATAAAGACACATTTAATTTAGCATGTTTTATAGCTTAAAAATCATAAATGTGAAATTCCATTTATTCTCTGAATTCTACATAAATTACCTAACTTCAAACATAACAGCAGCACTTCATAAGACATTAAGTCAGTTTTGAAGACTAATATCAAAAGCTATTAGAAGTAAAAAAAGTAACATTCTTAGAAACAAAAACTTGTTTAAAAATAAAATTAAAAATAGTATTCTTACACTGACAGGCCAAGAAGATTGAATTATGTTTACCATAAGCTACTTAGAAAGTTAGGAAAATGTCAGGTTTATGTTAAAATATTTTATAAACTTCTTTTACACATTATAAAAATGATATATAGTCATTTTAGAAAACCGTAAAAGTGCAGAAAGCAAAAGGCGAGAAGAAAAAATTCACCTTCAAATTCCCAAAGACAATCCTTTTGTCAGACGCATTAGAAATATTTCTAATTATCAGAATTCAAACAAACAGGTTTTCCAGATTAGTAAGAAAACTCAACAGACTATAACAATGTCTGCTGAAAAATAGACTTTACTGTATATTTCAGTGTAATGGTTTTAAGAAATATTTTCTGTGCACCATTTTCTAAGGCAGGAGTGTCTTGTCTGAGATTGGTTTGTAAATGTCATTGCTTTTTAGTATGTACTTAGCCCAATAAAAGTGGGAGTTTGAGTCACAGACCTTGCATGGTGAGTAAAACAGCATAATAACTTCAGGACTGTCTTCATCTTGACACACAATGAAGCAATTAGGAAAAGGCTTAATTAGCACCCTGCATCCTCACAGCTTCATTTATTCCAAGAGTTTTAAATGGAGACTCAGTAATTACCACGAGGAGAGAGAACTTCTAATTCAAGAACAAATAGCATCGAGTTTCCCTCAGAAACTGTTATGTACTAAATAATTTTGAAGAAATAAAAATGTATGTTTCTAGAAAGAAAAAACAGCCTCCTGACATTACTCTTCCCACCCTCAAATAAACAAGTTTATGGCTTTTATTTCTGAAAAGGAAAAAAGTATCTACAATGGAGCCTTGGACAACATAGGGATTAGGGAGACTGACCCCTCATGCAGTTGAAAATTCACATGTAACTTCCGACTCCCCCAAAACTCGACTACTAATAGCCTGCTGTCAACCAGAAGTCTTACCAATAACACAGCCAATTAACATATATTTTGTATGTTATATGTATTTGTATTTTTATAACAAAGTAAGCTAGAGGGAAGAAAATGTTACTAAGAAAATCACAAGGAAGAGAAAATATATTTACTATTCATTAAGTGGAAGTAGATCAATTATAAAGGTCTTTATCTTCACCATCTTTATATTGAATAGGCTAAGGAAAAGGAGGAAGAAGAGGGATTGGTCTTGCTGTCTCAAGGGTAGTACAGGGGAAGAGGCAGAGGA